TCATCGAGAACGGTGAATTAGTTTTCAGTCTGTTAATTTCTAATGAATCGATATTCATTTTTAGTTTTWYAAACTGACTTCGATTGTGTAAAAACTAAAAATACTAGGTATGAAAATATATTACTATATATACATTATACATATGTATAATATATGATGGTTTCAGCGCAGTTCCATTGTTACTTTGCTCCCATCAGAACAACTAGACTTTTGAACAAGGGGGCGTTTAAGCTTAAGGTTTTTTTATGAAAATCRGACCTAACTTTTTAAACAATTTTTTAGGGTACTAATTATGACTWAAGGGATGCTAAAGACCCAAATCACCCTTCCTCCCCATAGTTAGCCAATTAGTGTGCCTCAGTTTACGGGTAAATCGGTGTCGATTTGCTTAATTTTTTTAATTAATCCCACTGTGATGGAACATTTTTCCGCGGTGAATTTGTAAATGTGGTATAAATGGAACATGGTTCATACTACTCTCTAGATTTTGTTGATACGAGTATTATCTTTAAAAACAATTTTAAATTTTTACAAAATGGGTAAATAGTTTTTGAGTAGATATATAACTTTTTGTTTAACTTTTGGGATAGTAAATATCTCAGATTTTCGATTTCAACATCTTTTTTAATAGAAAAAAGAGTATTTAGTTAAATCGTTAGAGTCGTAAGAGATAGATGTCAAAATTTAAAATATCCAGTATTATTTAAAAAGTGTTGAGAAATACAAAATGTTAAGCTATTTTATCCACGACAAATAATAAAATAATTTTTTTTAATTATTAAATTTGATCAATTATTCAAGTACCTAGGCTGACACACCGTCTCCGCTCAGAATAGTTTTTCGTACACAATGCGATTTATCGTTGAGTTCAAATTTAACACATCCATAACAATAACTTACTCGACAGCTACTGTACAGCAGAGCGGTAACCACTACTTGTTAATCATTTTATGATATTGATATAGATTATATCATAATATTATACATTACTCATAATAGTCAATAGCCATCATACATATTTTTATTAGTTTTTAAATTGACTATATTAGCAATTAGCCATTAGATAATTATGGTGTAATATTTTAAATTGTTATACAAATAAATTCATGTTTTAATTGTATTGTGTTTGTGTACATAATGTATGTGAAAATTGTTATTATTAAAAAAAATCATATTTTAAAAAAAAATATATTTAATTAAATTAAAAAAAAAATGTTTAGTTTAGTTGTTCAATTGTACATTTTAAAGAAAACTGTACTAGTCAAAAAGAATACAAGTACATTATGTTTTGCCCGAAATGTGTGAAGCGTACCTATATGTAAATAGCTGGATGAAATTATTTGAAAAGATCTGGAATTTCTTAATAAATCTAATTCTCGTTGAAAATAAATGAGTAACTATTTAACATTCGTGTTAAGATTTCAAAAAAAATAAAAATCGTTGTTATTGTAATTTTAATTATGCTTCATGTTTTTGACTCTCTTTGAAAAATTCCAATTATTAAAAGAGTCACTGGAGATCTTGGATGTATAAGCATTTATCCCATGAGTCATGGTATAATATTGTATTTGTTGTTCGTAAATACTTTCCAATTATAAAAATGTATTTGTTTATCACTGACTACCTAGGGTGGTAGTTTTTAAAGTGTGATTTGTAGATATGAAAATTATGTTACATATATTTTTTAAAGTTAATAATTGTTTCATGTGGCTTGACAACTATATGAAGTGCCTAACTAATAAGGCAATCTAATGAAGCATCTAATTTCAATGATATTATAGCAAATTAAAAATGACTCCGAATAATTGTAAAATACCTATTTCTTATTTAAACTGGTATTAGAACACTAGACACTACAATGCTGGATGCCAAAATTAGGACTTATTTTTTAGTTTTAACTACAGAAAAATATTTAAAAAGCGGAAAAGTGGACATCGCTCAGCTGTACAGTGGGTTAGGAGTAGGTTAATGTAATAATGGATGGAATTCAATTTGAATCCAATGATATTATATCATTGTATACGAGAAACGATTCTGAGCGGAGACGGTTTATCTGTCTAGGATATACTATATATAGATTATTATCACTTATTAATTATTATTAATACTTATTAAAATATTTGACAAACTTATCTTGAATTAAATTTTCAAATCTTATATTTAAAATGAAAAATTCTTATGAATTTCTATCTAATATAATTTGAACATTGTCTGAAKTTTTACGTATTTAGTCAAAATTTGAACTTTAAATGCTCATAAAAAAAAATCATGACAATGTATTTTTAATATTTTTCAACTGCT